TTTAACATCCAGTGGTTAAATAAGAGCAAATCCCTGCAGTTTTTTCCAAAAACCTGACGGCATTCAGCCCTGTGGTAGCTGGGATAGGCTCCAACCCTCCCATGACCCTGAATTGGATAAGCAGAAGAAAATGGATGTATAGATGTATGGTTGGATAGACTAATGGCAATACCTTTGCAGATGGGTGAAGGCTATTAATTATACCCACATGTTTCAGTATATGTCAGTAGTGCATTAAACTGCCAGGTTTTGTATGTAAAACAGTGTTACGCATTATCTATGCAACACATCTGTAGTGCATCTGTGCACTGCTGTTGCAGCAGACTGCATAGCCCTAAGAGTTTTGATGTGTTGTCGTCCTGCTGGGTTTCAGGCTTTAGTAAAAGAGGACATCTTTTAAAAGGCTCGGCTTTGCATGACGCACTTGATGCTCTCTAGTGGGGGAGATTTTCTTCTTACTTTTAAAAACAAAATACTTTTTGCATCAAGTTACCTTCACTTCATTTGGTAATCCCCTGTAATTCTTAATATGCAGCAGGATTCTTTAGCTGTCAGTTTATTTGAAGGCACAGACTTTAAATTTCATATATTTGATGTGAAATGTCAGCTTGCTGACCAAACACATCTAAAGAAATAGACTTCAGCCTCATGAGGAACTGAGTTTGGTGTGAATGAGCTCCATGCTGCCATGCATGGGACTAGATCTGATTAATTTTTTTGTATGTATATATAATATTTAATATTTTTTTAGGTCTCCGATAGTTGCTCAGTTTAGTAGCAGAGTCACTGCACAATGCTGGTGATCCCATTCATATGTATATAAAGGGGTCGCACACATGCATACTCTGAACCTGAGATTACCTCAAAGGGAAACCATCTTTGCCGGTTGATAAGCTTTTGAACCTTGGCTAAACATTTGTGGTACATTTTAATGTGTGAAATTTATCTAGAGGTCTGTTTTTCTGCTCTGGGGAAAAAGCAGTTTCCCCAATTACTCAGATAGTAAAAGGTTATTTACTCAGTACAAAACCTGTGTTCACAGAAGGGTTATTTAACTGGGTTTTCTATAGCTGCTATAATTGGCCCCTTGATCAAACCTGTGTGACTGGAAAACAGAGTAGAGCTGCAGGGAGGACGGACCGAAGACATGCTTTATAATGATGCAACGCACCTAGTCAAAATAGTCAAAACCGTTTGACTCTCAAAGCCTTTGCATTCAAAATATGACTGAATGGAAAAGAGACTCCACCAACTCCACATTAAGGATGTTAGCAAAAGTCAACATTTGTCTGAAATGTCACAAACTCCCACCGGCAAATCAGCGTCGGTGACCTACGGGCGCCGATCTTTCACAAAGGCAGAACTCAAGCCACCGTCGTCAGCTCAAAGCCTCTTAAAGAGCTCACACGCAGCTCTCAGAGCTGTGCTTTTACTGCCTTATTGAATGATAGATGAACATATTTAAATGGAAATAAGCCACAACTGCATAACCATGAGTTGCATGTTGTTCAGGGGGGAAAAAAAGAAGATATAATTGAATAAAGGCAAAATTTTCACTTATTGGAATTCCCATTGCTTCTCAGTGACAGAGGTCTCACAACATATTGCTTTGTTCTATAGCCAAGAAAACAACACATTACAATATTAGCGCAACATCAAATGACACACCCGCCGCAAAGATGGATCACCGCGAGGTGCAGCCGCTTCCACGTACCCAGACAAAGTGACTATAATCAATCATCTTGGTAAAGCGCTGCTAAACAGTGGATTCTGTCAAATGGAAGAAACACTTACAGGCTCATAACTGAGCAGTGGCAGTTTACTGCTCACTTGAGACACTGAACAAATCAAAGCTTTCATGTCTGGGGATATAGCAAATACTGACTTGAGTGGATGGAAGGGCTGACTGATACTCTGCTGAAATAGAGAACAACATT